ACAATGCCCGCACTTGCCGAGGATCTTGCAGATCCGCTCCAGTCGCCAGGTCGAAATTGCGACCGGTCTTCACGTCGAAGCGACGCATCAGGAGTTGAGTGGTTCGACCCTCACCACCGAACATTTCGATGACATCGATACGGGAATGTTGATGTCCTCCACAGGTTCCAAATTCGTGCTCCATCATCTTCTCCACCATGTAGATTGGTGTCCAGGAGCATGAACTTTCCACCTCCTGCACGCCACTTCCGAAGAGCCATCTGCCGTTTCCATAGGAAAAATGCGTGAGCGACGTCTCTAGCATTGTCGCCTCCTCCTTCCAACTCGTCAGTTCAAGCTGACCACCAATGCCCATGAAGAAGGTCTCCTCTATAAGTCACTCTTTCCCAGTCCGCTCAAGTTCTCCCCGCAATCATCATCATGTCTTTCCGCGAGGATCTTCCGGCGTACTGCAACGTGACCGGCCTTCTTCTTGTCCTTCTGGCGGATCGCTTCCTCCTTGGAAAAGCCACAAAACGGACTGTTCTGGAGGAATGTGCTGGTAGTGCTTGCAATGAGGTTCCCTTCATTGGCGATGTCGATGTAGTGTCAACCGTCTGTTCTCGTGAGGAGGATGCCATAGAGCATCTTCCGGACTCTGTCTTTCCATGTTGGAGCAGTGCCTGCGCTCGAACCTGCTTTGTTGGAATCGTTGACTCAGGTTGCCTGTCCGTGTCTCTCCCTGTTATGCGAACATTCTGTGCCAATGCTCCCGTCGCCACAAGATGCTTGGCGCAGCCTTTTACGATGCCGTGAACCACTTCCTGCTCCACGTTGTGTTGCTGGGTCTTATTCAGCTCCTTGAGGTTGTAGTGCTGCTGTGATTGCCCACAGTGACAACCATCCACTGAGGGCAGATTGCAGTTGCTGTAGAGCAGAATCACCGCTTTGCAAGGTAGTGCTTCACGTTCCGTCAAAGACTGGTAATTGCAAAAGTGGTGCCTCGTGACGTTCAGGCGCTGTAACGCCGAGGCCCCGGTCTCAAGTTCCATGCCTGGCTCCTGGCATTCGCCTCTATAACACAGAACCGCAGTCCACCAAGCTGCTCGTGCACTAGTTGCATGAGGTTGTCCGTCCGGCTGTTGTCGTGACGGTTTCCGCTTCCCACACATGGTCCGGCCAGCCGTATCCAAAGGAGTTGTGGTTGTTGTGCTTGTAGCGCTCGCAGAAGATACTGACCGTGACCACGTGAATGAAGATCGTGATGGAAATGCATAGTGCGTACTCCAAGAGCTTGTAGTGCTGCTTGTCTGATGCCTTGGCGGTCGCCAATGATCCAGGCCAGAAACTCAGCACCTCTGCCAACGTAGATGTTGCTGTTGGCTAGATGCTTCACATTCTGACTCAGCTGTGGCAATGAATTCTGGCTCATGCATTCTCGCTGCACCAGTGCAGCTTGCCGCCCACCGGCGACTTGTCAACCTTCCCGCTCAGGCTCCTCAACCGATGGAGAAGCCTCGCGCCGAGCTCCGCGCCCGGCACTTCTTGACCTCGAACGCCGCTCATCGCGGGTTTGCCTGCATCCCATGGTGAATACCAGGTCGTCGGGTGGTACTCGGCTCTCCTCATCGGGAAACTGCATCCAGGTGTCCACCTCCAAGATGAGATGTCCTGACTCGCTGACCTGCAGAGGCAAGACAATGGTACCCGGGCTGGCTTGTACACGCAGCCCGCCATCTCCAGGAATGATCAACCGCTCGGTGCCCATGTCCAGTACCGCGGACTTCGCCATCAAACTGCGCAGACCGAGCAGAGGGGGAAGCTCGGAGTCCGGCACAACTGGCGCGTTGAAGCTTCCATGAAGTTCACCGCCTTGCTCATCGGTCATCCAAATTGGAACTTGTGCCGCAATCGTCGCCTCCTGAGCTCCACGGCCAACGCCTTCGATGGTGAGCTTCCTGGTGAGTGGCCGCTCTCGATGCGGCCCAACCTGCAGTGTCAGCTTTTCCAGAGTGCGGGAGCCGATCAGGTTGTCATGAGCGCCCGGGTCGACCAGCAAGCCGACCCTGTTACCGTCCAATCTGGTTTTCAAATGGTATGTGCCCTGCCGATCGCCCACCTGCCCTGGGATCTCATTCTCAACCTCCCACCAAGGAAAGTGTCCTTTTCCGCCGAATCCGGGAAAGCTCTTTGCCTTTGGCTGCTGTGACGTGATGCCCAATATGAGAGAGCTGATGCCATCCACCGCTCGCTGACGAAGCTGGTCCTCATGGGTCATGTCACTTCGCCCTGGCTGGATCTGCAGCTCCTGTGGGTTGGTAGTAGATGACGTAGCTGCGATTCCATCGAGCGCAGGACTGGCACTTGGTGGAGGGTGTAGAGGGGGTTGAGCTCCAGAAAGCAGTGGGATGACCTGCGGGTTGATGTTGATCGTTGGCGTCCAGTTCGGAGGACTGTCGGCCAACCTCTTATGTGGGCTTGACGTTGGCGGTGTCGACGTACCCGACACTTCATCACGGGTTCTCCGCCTCGTGGATGACGATGAGACTTCGCTCCCTGCGGAAGACACACTTGTAAAGCGCATTGCTGATGCTCTGTGTGTCGTCCTGTGGCTCACTCTTTGTGGTCCAAAATCCCATCATCCCACCTCCCGAGGCCACCGAGGGTGTCGGCGTCGTCGCCACCTCCTGTGTCATGAAAGCCACACCAGGTCGATTGCCAGGCCCTCCGCCATGGGACGAGGTTCCACCTCCTGCTCCCGGATGTGGCCGCCAGCCAGGAGGATCAGCCTGTGTGCACTGCCGCCACAGGTGTGTCTCACTGCCGCACTTGGCACAGGCTAGTGGCTTGCCGTCTCGCCCACGAGGGTTTCGGCGCCCATCGTGCCCACCGCCCTTTCCGCCTTTTCCACCTTTTCCGCCTTTGCCACCGGCGAAAGCTGAGGCGGGCAAGAACGATGTGTAAGTGTTGCGGTAAGGACCTTGTTGCAGTCTTTGCACACCCTGATTTCTCCGGACATTGAATCGCCGGTACTTCCTTGGCGGTCGCCCGGTGAACCGTCTCCATCGTTGTTTGGCCATCATGTAGTCGTGGTAGAGCTCACCCTGCACAGCGTCCACGTCCGTCCTGGATTGGCCGTCCACTTCAACGGTCTTGTAGTACTTGAGCTCCTCCTCGTCCAACTCCACATCTGTGTCCGTGCCGGAGCTGAACTCTTCGTCAAAGTAGGTACCGCAGGTGCGGCACTGGTAATCCAGGTCGTTGCCACTGCTCCGCGTGGCTTCCGCTCCGGCCAAACCGGGACCAGTTGCCTGGTGTTGCCGTTGCTGTAGAAATGCTGCCCAAGGGTCAGAGCCCATGCCCAGACGCCCGGTGCTGGTTGTTCTTGAGGCTGCCAAGGATCAGGATGAGCACCTCCACCTGTTCCAAATGTGGGGAAATAACCGTAGGCGCCGGTGTGACCTGTGGCGCCCTGATGTTGTGCTCCCTCGTTGCCATGCTCGTAGAGATGGCCCATCCTCCTCAAACGCTCAATCAACTGGTTGAGCTCATCCTCATTCTGTGGCTTCGGGACTGCATTTGCAGGCTCTGATGAGAAGCCATGCTGCCCCCGTGGAGTTGATTCCGAGGCCACCCTGGTTTGCAGCCCTGTTCCGCAGGACTTCAAATCGAACCAAGAAAGCATCTATTGGTTCGTTGGGCAGTCGAGCCAAGTGTAGATACTCTGACAAGGCTCTTGAGCTCGACTCAATCTCCAGGGGGCCGTACCGGTTGGCTAGCGTTTGGGCAAGCACCATGATTCCAGGAACGTGATTGCCCAGGTTGTCGTTCACGCCGTCTCTGAGCGTGGCCGGCGGGATTTCCCTGATGATTTCTCTGGCGGCACCCGTGATCTGCAGTGCTGCCACCGGCCCTTGCCGCTGCTGCTCCATGTCCGTGGCTGATGCCCAGAGGACCAAGTCGCTCAGCCAGCTACCGTTCCGCTCCACGCACCACGTTGGTGGCACCTTGAGCGTCGCTGCGCCTGCATGCGTGGAGTCACCCGCGGGGTTGCCATTGTGCCACCTTGGTCTGAACCCGCTCGTCAATGCTAATGCCATGACGCCCATCGGCAGTAGCAAGATCAGTATCCATATCATCGAGGGCATGTGCAATCGGTTGTCGATGCCATTCTTGGCGTCAGCGGTCGTGCCGTTGGTGTTGTCCGGGGTCTGGAACATGTCCGGCAGGTTGCCACTCACGAAGTGCTGCATGATGGAAATGCCCATAACCAACTTCATCACCTGCATTCCACCTCCACTAGGATGATCCAACGCCAATGCATGCTCCACCTCCGGTTGATCATGTCCAGGTGGAACCATGCCGGGGTCATTGAGGTGCGGCGGGATGCCGTAGCCGCTGTCCTGGGACTGGCCGTAGTGCTCGTTCGGCATGTCGCCGATGCTGGTGTCCTCAACCTCGTTGATCGCCATGCCAAGCGTGTTTCCCTGGAGCCGTTCATCAAAGATGTGCTTGCCTGCAACGGGCTCGTGCTTCTTGGTGTGGTAGTCGGGAAGGCCACCCATGTGAAACTCAGTGCGTAGTAAGGTAACTCCGGAGTGCGTCAAGGCACCATGAGCAAACTTTATCTGCGAGCTCATGGCGTGATTGGGCTCATGTTCGCCCTCCTCCACAAGGCAGAAGCCAGGAAGAGAACGAAGGCACAGTACTGCAAGTAGTGCCACGAGCACGAACAAGGCCGTTCGTACCCGTCGCCCGTGGTCGCCAGGAAAGCAACACACGGGCTCCGCTACCAAGTCGAAGTGATCGTGTTCGGCGCGGACTCCCTGTTTTCCGCGATCCATGGCCTAGAGGCCGTCATGTGAAACTGTCTACTTCAGCTCGAGCCTTCATGGCACGAGCGTGCAATGTGGTGCAACCTGGTACCTTTCTCTACTTTGCACAGTTCCCGCCCTTCTCCCTTTCCGATCTTTCGAGCCTTCTTCAGACCAGGACGCGCGCGAGCAACACCCTTCGCCCGCCTTGTGCTGGCCCTTCGACCCGTAAGCGAACTCGTAGGGGCCGTCCAGTGGCACAAAGATCGCCACGTTGGAACGCCGCTGGAGGGCACTTCCCTTGCCCAAGGCCGTGGTGTAGTTCATGGTGTAGCCTCAAAAGTGGAAAGGCTCTGGCACAGACATCTAGCATGCATAATATGTACGTGTCGCGTCACATGCTCCGCAAGAGGAACACAAACAACAGAAAACAAAGGATGTTTCGTCTTGATGCTATTTGATGCATCGTGATTGGTGTTGAGGTGTGCCGAATTCTTTGTGGTGTAACCGCTTTGGGGTTTCCAACACAACCGACACCCGACTGCACAGCCACCGATGGTGTGACAATCTCCCAAATTCATGGACTTTCAGGGGGTCAGTTCCCTTGAACACCAAAGCGGTTTTCACCACCCCGATTTTGAGACAGACCCACACACACACACACCCACACACACACACACACCCCAGCTTCAAGCCACGTGTTTCTTTCACCTCGCCCAACTAGTTTGTTGCCATCCCACCCAAGGCGACCTCTCCCACCAGGCGAAGCGCCGTAGGAGCCAGGGATCATGGGCTCCCTGAGATTGGCCAGGCGCCCCAGCACCATGGTGGAAGGCTCGCCCGGCGAAGCGGCCGACCTGGGAAAACCCGCAGTGCCACGGAAGCACAGGCGAGGTGGTTTTGGGGCGCGTGCCTGTTTTGGGGTGCGTGGATGGGTGGGTGGATGAGTGGATGGGTGGGCGGATGGGTGGGTGGGGTGGGATTGGTTGTAGTTGGTAGGGGTACAAAGCTTGTTCATGTGCAAAGTAGACAGGCAAAAGCAAGCCAGTTCTGTGTGTGCAGCTTAAATTTGTCTCCCAAGAAGGTGCCAAGCCCAGAATCTCAAAAAAGTGAGCGGGTGGGCGGATAACCAGAAAACGCAGTGTCCTGCTTATTTGCGCCCTGAATTGCTGGGTTGTTTGGCATCTTGGTCCCAAAAGCGCGGGGACGGGGTGCTGTCTAACCAGAGCTTAGTTCCTGCATCAAGGGTGCCCCATTTTCGCTTGAGAGAGGGGTAAATCGTGTGGCACTTTTGAACGCCTGGTCACAAGTGGCAGAGGCCCAATGCGCTGGGCACAAAGCCACTGTCCCCTCAGCTGCAAGTAGATTTGCTAGGGGAAGCACCCCCGCTCTCGCGCAGCTGATTTTCACGCCCAAGTGACACTCAGGCTGACTCAGGCTCCTGCCTGCAACCGGGATGCGCACAGATTTGACAGGACGCTTGCCGTAAGATTCTGGCCTTGCAAACCGAGCTCACAATATGTACATGGCCCACAGTGCCCAAGTACGCCACATCTCAGGAAACCATGCCAGAAACAAACCGCCCATGAATGAATCGTGTTTTTTTGTTTTCCCGTTTTTTTTTCCGGTGGGCGGGGGGTTCCTGTTGCACACCATCCAGGTCTCTAACTTTGGAACAAACGCATTTGGGCTCCCTTGGAAGCACTTGGACGCTTTTCGGGTCTCCAAGTCTGTCCGGATGCACTGCAGGTCTTAGGCAAATCCGTGCAAGGTCTCACGTTTCAGAAACCTTTCCACCTCCAGGTCTCGGACGAACCAGTTGCCTTAGACGCCGGTTGGGTTGCAAAAGGGACGCACAGAACAAGCCTGCAGCTACAAATTGAATGTTATTGTATCCTATTGGAGGAGACCAACAAGCTAACTCTTAGCCAAGTCTGGCATTGTTTGTTTGATGGTTGAGAGGGAAATGAACATCACCGACAAGAGTTGAAACCGTAAGTCTCATGTGCCAGAACGGGACATGTCTGAAAACACACACGCGCACAAAAACCGGGGCAAAGAGTCAAAACGGACCAAATCAGGCACCGGTTGCCTTTGGGCTGTGCCACCTGCTCCTCCCTGTGCTGCTGCAGGCGCCTCAGGGCGCTCTGCTGGCGCTCGCTCAGCTGCAGCCCCGCTCCGCCCGCCGGCCGCGGGGAAAGCCGCGGAGAGCTTCCGCGGAAAGCGTCCGCCGGCGCCGGCCTGGGAGGCGGGTGGAAAGCCTCCAGGGGGCGGTTTTCCAGGTGAAACGAGCCAAATTCTGGGCCCAGGATCTGAGGCAAAAGACATGAAGAGCTGGTTTTAAAAGAGTGCGTTGCGTATCAATAATGGGTTGCTTTGTTTCACAAGTTTCACGAAAACATGGTGTGCAACAAGTCAAACGGTAGTAAGGTTGTACAAACGGGCAAACAAGATGTGTGGCAGAAAAAGAAGAAGAAAACAAAACACATGGATTCATCACAATGCGTGTTCGCAACATGTTGGGGCAGCAAGGGGAGGCCGACCCAAAAACTCATGTTTGATTCTTCATCACGTTTGGCGAACCTTAGAACAATAACTAGGTCCTCCAGTAGAGAGGGTAGAATAAGGCTTCCCTTTTATTTCTGTAGTCTATTTTAGTAGGGCAACCCTCCCCCAAAAACGAAACGGTCAAAGGGCACCTAGCTGGGGGACCTAGTTAGAACAATCACATTCCAAAAGAGACGCCCCCTACCGAAGGGTTGTCCCACGGGCCTCCGAGGTCTTCCTCGCCTTTCGTCGGAATCGCTCGAAGATCTCCGCCCGGCGACGCTCCGCCTCAGCCATCTGCTCCCGGCGAATCTCCTCAGCGACGGCCGCCTCCTGCCAGGGGCAGACAGTTGGATGAAGCAATGTGGACCCCATACCAATCAACCCCAGTGTATTTATATGGAGGTGTCCCCGGGTTTAGTGGGGATTCATCACTTGCGGAGGGGAACATCCCATATTTATAAACCGGGGTGTCTTCATCCGGGGTCAACATTACTCCCCCGAACGAGCAACACTTCGCCGCCGAGGTTCGCAGCGGGTTTGTCAGGGCTACAAAGTGTGGTTTAGGAGAGGGTTTAGGTAAGGGTTCAGCAAAGGCTTAGCTAAGCTATGCTAAACCACCTAAACCTGATAAGTTGTTTTTTCCTCACATTCCATCACCCATGTGCAACTGCTGCGAGAAAACATGCTCGTATTTGCAAGCCAGCGACGATTGGGATGCGGGCCAAGAGTGGGAAAAGCTGGAAGCTCGCTCGGAAAAGGCATAACGCTATTCATTGGTTCCTGAACTAGCCCTTCAAATATAGCTTCATAAATGTGTTTAGTTGCTGCTCCTGGTTGCGTATGGGATTGTATGGGTGTGCATGTTAGCTACTGCCCATAAATAGTTTCGCAGTCTCTCTACGCAATTTATCTGCGCAATGTCTCTCATAAATTTGTCTCTCTGAGCAGTCTGTCTGAGCATTCTCTGCAAATTAACTTACATTTACTATTGCAAGTTCTCGTTGCAACTTTCTGCACGTTCTGGATTCAAGCTGCTATAGCTGGTGCAAAAAATCAAGAGGAATAACCCTTGCCGATGCTTGTGGTGCTATTTTGGGGCATAGGATTTGCGGTTTTCGGCGGAAGCTACGCAACCGTAATTGTCCCACTTCAAAATTAGGATTTTCAAGCCAGAGCTGCGAAACTGTCCGTTGCTATTTCCAAGCTGGAGCTGGGAAACCGCACTTCGCGCACTACCTTTTGGCTGTTGAGCATCGAAGTTTCCCCAATAGCTTGGTAATCTGAGGCAAGTTCCTACGTAGATATAAAGGCGCCTTGAACACAGAACCATGAATACAAAGTACTTACTAGGTGGGGACGGGTATTTTTTTGCTAGATCTGTGTCTAACATCCGATCATCTCCCAAAACTTGCCAAGTGGGTTGAATGTCGTGCTGAGTGAAAGTAGATGGCACACTCCTCCCCCCATTTTGGTCTATCCCCTGCTCATACGCAGTTGATCAATTTAGTGGTGCATGGTTTCCATTGAAACCATCGCCACTTGAGGCTCCAAAAAGGGGAATGGATGGAACCCTGATCTACTCATGGCTAGTCCTTGGTGTGACAAACGGACCGTGCGTGTCGATGCACAAAGCCCAATGCACATGCTACTTCTTAGGGGTCGGTCGCATTCAACCCTCTGCGGACATCTTGCTAGACATTGTTCCCGAAAGACATGGATCTTGGTAGATATCCCCTCTGTTCAAACGGCAACTTCCGAAGTGCCAAATACTTGTCATCCCCTTTTACTGCAAAATGCCACGGGAAACGATGGTGAACACGGACCGGCTCGGCTGGTTTCCGTTGGTGCCCTTCAAACCATCCAAAAAGGCACCCCTATCTCGAGACCCCCAACTATACCGTTGCTGTAAACCCTTTTTCAGGGTTCCCTTTTGGGGGTGGTTTAAAGGGAACTTAAAGGGACAAAACTTGCCCATCTGGGGCGGGGGTGGGGGGGTTCCCCCCTTGGCCACACATCTCCCTTGGGGGTCGCTTCAAGGAGCCGTCCTTCCGCTTCACGGCCGCCGCCTCCGCAGCGGCTTTGGCGGCTTTGTCCTTCTCTCTCTTCTCCTTGGCGGCTTCGGCCGCCTTCCTGGGACGCGAGGATGTGCATGAAGAAAAAAAGGGGTACATGCTTTTCTAGGTGCTCCAGTAGAGAGGTTAGAAGAAGGGTATCCTTTTTTCTCTCGTCTATTTTAGTAGGGGAACCTCCCCAAAAAAGAAACAGTAAAAGGGCACTACTCAAGGCCCGAGTCTTGTTGCTTGACTGGAAGACTAAAAACAGGTTGATCTGAAACGGGAAAAACAAAACGGCGCACAATGCATTGGGCAACTGAGCTTCTGTTTCTCCCGCTCAGCTTCTGCCTGCCTCTTCTCTTTGGCGAAGGCTTCTCGCCGTTTTTGGGCGCCCTCGGCCGTCGGCCGCTCTCCGCCTCGCGCCGCACCTCGCGCAGCTCCTCGCGCCGCGTAGGCCGCCGCCTTCGCCACAGTGGCGCACGGCTCACAGGCCCGCAGCAGGACTTCCTTTGCGCGGCTCAGTCTGAGGAACCGCGCCTTGGCTAAGGCGTCCTGGCAGACTGAGCCAAGGCGAAACAGCCTTCAAGCTGGAGCCAACGCGTACTGCGGGCACTGGACTTGTACGAGTACTGAACAGTTACAATGTTCAAGCTGCTGCTGATGCCTTCGCATATATCACAGCCCTGGGGTGCGCTGACTAAAACTTGACTACTCATGGCACAGGCGTCTTTCGATCGGTAGCTCCGCGATGAGGATTGCAAAAGTTGCGCAATACACATTAGACTCGTTGGCCAGGAATGCAACGGGACAATCATTTCAGATCAACAGCCCCAAACTCCTCTTAAAAAGAGAGAAAGAGAGAGAGAGAGAGAGAGAGAGAGAGTGACAGCCCTTGGAACCTAAAACCTTCAAACACCCCTCCTTCTTCTGTGGGAGTGGGGGGGGGGGAGGTGGCGATGGGAGCATCTAGCCCTTTGAGACAAAGACTCCGACCCTCTCCTTGGGATGGCGATCCGGATGGCACCTCAGCGCCTTCCGGCGAAACGCCCTCTCCACCGCCGCACGGCTTCCATCACCTCGAGCGCAAGGCGAGGGCACTCCCAGCAGCGCGGCGGCCTCTCGGAGGCTGCAGTCGCCCATGGCACCGCGCACCGAGGCGCGGGTAGACGCGGAAAGGTACGGATTGATAGGTGATCAGGTGATCAGGTGATCAGTTGGTGGTTGGTTGCTTGGTGGGTTGGTTGGTTGGTTGCTTGGTGGGTTGGTTGGTTGGTTGGTTGGTTGGTTGGCTGGTTGGTTGGCTGGTTGGCTGGCTAGTTTATTATGCACGCTTGGTTGCCCGGTTGCCTGGCTGAGCGTGGAAGCCAACTCGGAGGGTGCAACACTGATTGCCCGAGTATGATCTTGTTGTAAAATCAACATCGGCATGCGCTCTCAGTTCACTTGGGCGCAGCTCACGGGGAACACACTGATTAAACATTTCATCGAGGGCTTCAACCAGCTTTGTTCGATGTCTCAAAAGCAGTGGGACCCACTGAAAAGCGATTCCTCGCATTGAGCCATGTCCGTTGGAAACAAGCTGAACAAATGTCTTGAGCCTTGAGCTGCTAAATCTGCGGTCTGGTCGCCGCCCAAGACAGTGCAAAGGCAGCGGGCCCCTTATAACAATAAAACACATGTCGTGCCCATTGAAGTGACATACTCAAAACCCTCCAAGCCGACGGTCGGACATCCCAAGGGAACCCGCCGCCCAACATAAACTTGTGCAAGCCCCTCCAAAACAAGCCAACTTTTCTCGGGGACTCTCGTTTGAGGAATGTCCCTCCAAAACATTTCGGGCACGCCCCAAACAAAAAATAAACACTTCCATTTGCTTAAGACCCCTGGAAAGAAGGAACATGTTTCCAGTAGTGATAAATTCCTTTTGAAACCAACAAAAGAACATAAAACACAACAGTTCTTAAGCAAATGGAAGAACAAACAAAAAATATCCGGGCCCCAGCGGCAGGGCCACGTCCAGCGCCATGTCCTTGCACCGCGCCACGGCGTACGGCTCCGCCGCCAAGGCGGCGGCGCCTTTGGCCATGGAGGCCATCTTGGAGTAGGCGACGTCCTCCACAAAACACCGCTACATTCATCATGGGCGGTGTTTTAGGTGTTTGCAAGCACTAGAACTACGAACCCGTACGGGTAGGTAGCGACTAGACCGCTCGTACTCTCCGTTAATCTGCCAAAGGGACGAGTGGGAAAGAGCACCGAAATGCCTTCGAGACGTCTAAGCAAATATGGCACAAAACGGCAAACTACCGTGGAAGAGCTGGTCTGAAGCTTCGCTACAGCAAGGAACGAGTGGGAAGCGCAGAGTCCCAAGTGAAGCACCTGAAATCATTTGGCTGTGGGTCAAAACCCAGAAACCCCTGGTGAACATCAAAATAGGCGGTACATGGGTGTTCATTTGCCCGGCATGGGTTATGACCCATGGCCATTTACCCTCCCACCAATGAACATGGAACCTGCAGGGACCCGGTCCCTTCAAAGGAAAATGGTCTTCTAGGACCCCTCTGTCAGGTTCCATGTTCATTGGTGGGAGGTGCTGAATCATAAGAACAGTGGGTCATTCCAGGTGCCGAACCTCAATGTGTTCTTGGTAGACGTTGATCATAGCTTTTCGAGGCATCTAGATTGTCCATGTTTAATGGCTCTGAAACGGCGAATCGGTCCCCGCAAAACTTGTATAAGACACATTAGCTAAGGCTGCTCGAAAGACCCTGGAACAAGTGGTCCCTGAAAACAACAGAAGCCTCACATTGTGCCCACTCTTTTGGTTTGGTTATCTTTGAGAGGCTCGGAACACTGATTCACTACTCTTTCCGACCTTGCCATACTATACAAACACGAAAATATGGGGGAATCCTGAAGAAGAACCTTCGTTGGTGATCTCTTTTGGGCTCACCAAATGTGTCTTCAGACCAAACACTTAGACTTGCCCATCGGACGGCAGCCCGAGATCCATCCGGGTGCCTTTTGGCGGGTACCCTTTCTTGGGTGGTTTCAAAGGAGAAGACAAGGAAAACGGCAACTGTGAGACGAACTCAAAATAGAAGTCTACATGCAGCATGTAGATCAAGGGACTTCATCCCGGGTGTTCGCTTGTCTTACCAACTTGCCATAGCATTGGCCATTCATTTCTCAGCACCTTGTTGGAATTTAGCGTCTTAGAGAGTCTGAAAAAACAAACCTGCCCTTTTGGCCCCCTTTTGGGTAACCCGGGAAATGGGGGCGCGCCACTCTTTGTTAGGGACTCCCTAACTCCCAAAAGAAGGGGGAAAACGTGGCACATCAGGCAGAATCAACTGGGCTGTCCGGCTGTCCTCGGATCGCCTGCTAAAAGCTCCGCTTCTACTGGGTGAACTGCACAACCGAACCGCTAAACCAACTAAAAACAACCAAACAAACCCAAGGAACTGGACGACTGGGAACCGCCGAAAGTAATCTCTGGTTGATTCATCTGGGGTTCCCACTCTCCCTCAATTCAACTTGCTGCTCTGTGGAATGAACCCAGGCAGGCATTGGCCCCCTGATTTCGGAAACCACCAGTTGGATGGTGTTCTCGGTTGTTTTCTGCTGCCCTGCTAAAAGTGAAAAACTTCTAGCGGTTCAATGGAAAACCCATTCGTTGGCAAAAAGTTCCAGTCTTATAACATTCCTTGGCAACATTTGCGCCAACGAATTCATTTTTTCCAAAAGGACCAATTCATTGGGGACGTTGTGGGGTCATTCCTCATTCCCTGCAACAAAAAGGGCTTCCCAAAGACTAACCCCCCATATTAAGGGGGAGATTCTCTTGTATCACAGAAGTGGTTGGACAAACCCCGAGCGATCCCACAACCCTGTTCCATAACGATCGCCTTGGCAAAATTTGCGCCAAAGACTTCCTTGTTTTTTTTTCCCAAAAGGACCAATTCATTGGGGACATTGTGGGGTCATTCGGGTGTGGCTCAAAATGAAACAGGAGGGGCAAACCGCAGGTTTTGGTCCATGTTTCCACTTGCCAGGGCAACCCATTTTGGAATTTCGGGATTTTTGAGCCACAACTTTCCCAAAAAAACCATTGGGGGTTGTTCCAAAAGGACCAAATTGGGGACGTTCTGGGGTCATTCCTCATTCCCATCGCATCTCTCCAAGCCATCGCAGCGATCGGCCGCAGCGCCTTGAGCTTCGGATCCGCGAAGCCGCAGTCCGTGCACGCCATGACGCAATCCCCCGACATGGCGTAGGCCTGTCCAAAGGTCTCCCCCCAACCGACGCGAGCTTCGCGAGCTTATGGGCGTAGGCTCGTTTTTGGCAGGGTACCCCCCACCTCCCCCCCCTTTGCGCATTTGGTGAAAGGGAAACCCGCCACCTTTCTTATCTATGTTTTTTGGGGGGGGAGATTGCGTTGGTTGTAAAGGAACACATTCCCCGCTTTGTTCTGGTTGTTGCTGTTCGACGTCGCTTTGCAAGCCTGGTTGGATTTGGCACATCCAGCTTGAGAATCCCACGTGGTCGCTGCACCAAGAGTTTCAGTTGGCTCCTTGATTGGCATTTTTGGGGCGTAGGGATTCTGTTGGGGGGTCCTTTTGGGTAGTAGACTCACTAGCTTCTTTTTGGGTGTCCTTTGTTGGGGGGGGGCCAACAAAAAGCAAAAGGAAAACAGCTGGGAAGACGTTGTGATGGGTTTATGTTTACTCTTGCGGCTTGCCCCAATGTTTGCTCCGTTGCAGTGATGGATCAACATTGCCGCCCACATGTCATTACCGTTGCTCTTCTGGGTCACCAAAAGTGGTGGCTTGCCTTCGGGTTTTGGCTGCCCATCTCCTTGTTGCTTTTGGTGGCTTTGCACGTGTCAAAGCGATTGTGACTATCTCAGGCAGTGCCAGCGAATGCTTCTCATTCCCTCGCAACGCCCCAATTCCCACCAATACAATCCCAAACGCCCAAACTTGTGCTCGACATCTGAGAACAGCAACACATCGACTGGTACTCTGACAAGCCGTGCCGAGACCCTTCCATATTTGCCAGTTTAAGTTGTTGCAGCCAATACATCGCCGGAAACTTTGTTTAGACCGCTTTTTGCAACATAATCTTTTTCGGTATTATGGAATTAAAATAATGAAAAACGGACCAGGGTGGTTTCGACCCACTAATGACATGGGTTTAAGGCTGAAGCAATGACGCCTTACCCGTTAGGCGAATGGTCCTGTTGTCACCAACGCGGATTGAATTGGGTAAAAACATATCAAAACACATGCTACTTGAAAAAGGTTTCCTAGAACACCCTGTTTGGGCATTAGGTGCGAGAATTTCAGGTAATTGCACCCTTTCGGACTCAGCATGCCATGCGACAAATATGTTTACACAAGCCACCCCGAACAACAACGAAGTTCTCCCACAAAACCCATCGAACAACACCCCCCCCCCACAAAAAGAAGAAGCCCAGGTGGTAAGTATCCCCAACTGGAACCCTCTGCAACCCTCCCAGAAAGCTGCCCCAAACCACCCGCCAAGACCCCATAGCTTCCAGCCGTTGGGGAAAGAAACACCTCAGGTCCAACTCTCTCCATCTCTGCGGCCCCTCGCTCCAACAGCCGAAGCCTGCAGGCGCTGGGTCACCAGCCGGTGGTGCTCGACGTGGGCAGTGGTGGTGTCCAGCACTCCGGGCATCAGCACCTTGTCCGCCGGCACCTTCACCTGAATTATGTTTGTTTCGGACCCGTTGGTGCCCGGAGTCTCCTTCTGACTCGAATCAAACATGAGGCCATCCACTTGTTTTGGGGTGACGCCGTTTTGAGCCCGGACCTTTTGGAGGACAAAAATCTGGGATTCAGGTTCAACTCTTAGAATGCGCAGCAGCCAAACAGGGATGTTGTGCGACGGTTGGGAAGTGCGCTGCTCGGTGTCGGATGGTTTCCCGGCGTTTTCTGCACAAAACAAAGAACAAACATCAAATCAAGTAGCCCCCCCAAAGCCCACCTTGATATTTGTTTGTTCCGATGGATGGATGGATGGATGGATGGATGGATGGATGGATGGATGGATGGATGGATGGATGGATGGATGGATGGATGGATGGATGGCTGGCTGGCTGGCTGGCTGGCTGGCTGGCTGGCTGGCTGGCTGGCTGGCTGCATGGATGGATGGATGGATGGATGGGTCGATGTGCGGATGGGTGGATGGGTGGGTGGATGGGTGGATGGGTGGATGGGTGGATGGGTGGATGTTTGGATGGGTGGATGCATGGATGCATGGATGCATGGATGCATGGATGGATGGATGGATGGATGGATGGCTGGGTGGCTGGGTGGCTTGGTGGCTGGGATGGGTGGATGGGTGGATGGGTGGATGGGTGGATGGGTGGATGTTTGGATGGGTGGATGGATGGATGGATGGATGGATGGATGGATGGATGGATGGATGGATGGATGGATGGATGCATGCATGCATGCATGCATGCATGCATGCATGGACGACTCACATAACATGTCCTTGAAATGAACGCGAGGGCGAGATGCCAACAAGGCAAGAGAGCACGAAGTGCTTTGCCCCAATTCCCCAAAGAGCGGCCCAACCGAACGCTACCAGGCTCCATATGGGTGTGTGCCCCTTTTAAGGGACCCCAAGCGCAACAAACACGAGAAAAACCACAAAACATGTGGTGTTCGTTGTGGTTGACCTTTTAAAAGGCACCCTCCAAAAAAGATGAACAACCAGTCCATGTCCCCCAGAGTGTGGAGGGGGCCTGTCACTAGCTTCAGCGAGTGGCAGTCTTCCAGACCTCGTGCTCATGGGCATGGCCCGGGTTGCACGCCTCGGCATGCGCTTCTGTTTTGTTCCCCTCCACCTGGCTTATCCAACGGATTGGCCCAGAAAAAGTAAGCCAAGCTTCTTGTTTGCCACTGGAGGCAACTCACTTCCCATCGAGCGGATTGGCCAAACAACGTGTCCGGCCCAACCCCAAGAAGTGATGAAAGTCCATGAGCTGGTGGGGAGTGAGCCACGTTGCCATGGAACCAACCAGACATTCCCTTTCATGTCTTCCAGGAGCCCAAACAGTCAGGCTCCACGTTAGTGCAAAGGGGGGTAAACACTGTGCTGGTCAGCCGCTTCAGCCCACTGCGGGATTTAACAACTCTTGCCCTTGCTGCAATATGAAGATATGCAAGTTATCTCTTTGTATGCAAAAATATGTATGCACATCCTCATCAATGCAAGGTCATCTTTGTTCAGTGGCATCCCACAAGAACCCAGTGAGGACCCCCCCCCCCCGGCCAGGGTCAACCAGGCGCAGCTAGAGATCCGCCTGATTTTGGCACTTACACTCACAAGCCAGTTTGTTCAGAGAAGTCTCCTGGGAACGGCATCCCGCCCGTTCAGGCTCTGTGCTAATTTGCAGGAATAGCAACCGCATCTGGCCAACAGCAGGTGCCACCCATGGGGTCTATGATTGCAGGAAACGTGACAAAGTCTCGGCGCAGGGGCTGTACCTACTTATGTTTTTTACGCAATATATGTATATTCTCTAGAGACGATGTGTATATATTTTCCAGGCCGTACACATATACATCAACATACATACTGCCAACGATTGGAAGGGAACCACCTCAAACAGGTCGTTTTTTTTGTGCTTTCAATTATATACAAAAAAAAACACATTCCAATCCTAATGGCTTGAACATTGTCATGAACTTCGGAGCAACCCTGGTGATCGGATGGCACGCCCCGGAAAGAGCAACCCCGAGGTTTAACTCTCTGACTCGCGGAGGTCGCCAGTCCTCGAAGGAGATGAACCTGGGCTTCGCGGACAACACGAGCGCCGCGATGTCCGCCAAGGCCACGTCGTGGGGGGCCGGAGAGTTGCCCCAGCACACCTAAGACACCCCCGGCCGGCTGAATCGATCGCTGGAGAGGTTCCTGAGGGGTTTTGAGTGCAAAGTGGTGTTGTTTATGTGGGGCTCTTCTTGTCATGTTCCCAAACAGGCGAGAGTCAACGGCGTTCCTTGAAATACACCATACGTGGATGTTTACGTGGAACACCTGCATGATGCTGGAAGAAAACCAGCTCTACCAAACAAACAGAAAGAGAGAACGAAGCGGACAAGCGCGACGACGAGGGCTTTCCGTGAAATCTGAGACCGCATCTGTTTTGTTTTTCAGCTGTTTCAGCTCATCCCTTGCGCCGAGTCTGACCAGCAAAAACTAGGAGAATCGAAGCTCGGCGCGCGAGCGCGAGGGAACGCTGCAGCGCCTGTTGATACCAACATGGGTGTCTCCCTTTCAAAATAGGAATCGGACCTTCCTTTTGAAAAAAACAACTCAAATCCTAAAACAAGACACTTGACTGCAGGGAGTTCAACCCGCCTTTGCCTGAGTGTCTGTTCGGCAAGCCTTTCGAAGCAAAAACAAGGGAAGGAGACAATGCCCAGAGCCAAACTAATCGAGTTTTGACAGCCCTGTTCGTGCCGCTAGAAACAACAACAGTTTCACGGGGGAAGCAAGGTCAT